CCACTTAAGTCCGGAAACGAAGTCCAGTACTCTATTCCACACGTATTTCACTCAACAAGAAGCTGACAAAACTGGCTTTTTTGGCAAACTGTCTACCTTAGATCTACTACTCATCCTGCGATTTTGGCCCCAACCACATTCGCACATCCGGTGGCTACTTCCAAATGGCGGAAGTCTTTTATCTCATCTACCTGAAGGAGAAGGGATTGGCCAAGGAGGTGGAGGAGGAGGACAAGAGGAACCCCCTGAGGACGGAGGGTATGATTTGTCCCTCTTCAGCGCCGCAAATTCCGACCTCAGAGCCGCGTCGACCCCTGCCTCCGGCGTTGGTCATCAAAGACCGCGTACCACCAGAAGAGCCAGTGGTCACCAACTCGCCCCTCTACATGTCACGCATATATAAGAACAGTTCCGTCCTGCCGAAACCTGTGGAGAAGGACCGTGTGGCGGACGACTTATTTGCACGAGTTGTTGACATCTGGGCAACCTACCTTGCCACCATTATACAGTCCATCATTAAAAAGCCAACCATTCCGGAGGGTTGCGGTTCCGTTGTGGCAGAAATAACGATGAATGAGAAAATGACGCTGGGTAAGTGAACAACAACAGAATCTCTACTTTTGACCTTCTCCATCCTTATATTTGGATGAGTTCGCGCCTGCGCGTTCTTCTTTTGCGAGCACCTTGTGGGTCAACTTCAAGCTGCTCATTAAGATTAGATCACTATAGTTAAATCATTAATTAATGCATTTCAGTAGGCCTAGTTATGCTTAGCACTGTACAGAATCCGTTATCAGCTTAGATTATTAATTTCAATATTGTACCCCCCCAAACGTGAAACTCTTTACCGCCTTGCGGATGCTTTTAGTTTAACTTGTTTAAGTTTACTTAAGTTTTTAGTTCATTGCTTAGTTGATTCGTTTAATTTTAGTTTTAGTTTAATTAAGTTTAATTTTTATTTAATTTTTTGATCGAAATATGGTAGCTTTCCGGCCCATCGTACTACAATATCTGTCGAACTTCGTTGGGAGCTAATTTGCTTTTTAAAAGATGACAAAAGCCAATCTTTCATGGTTTTACGTGTATCTCTACATTTTTATATACAGTAGGTGGTCTAGCTGATGAAATCAAAGGATTTTTAAAAGTTGCTACCTGTTACTCAAACGCAGCCCAAGCTGCGGCCATCAAGGTCTCACAGCAATAAAGTAGAGCATATTGCGATTTATGAAGGAATTTAAAGTTTTTTAGGAATACCTGCTTTTTAAGCAAAGTGGAAAATTCCGAAAAAAGGGAAATCGGACGTACTAGGTAAACTTAAATTTTCCATTTAAAGTAAACCTGTTCATGCAAGACCACCGAGTGAATAAAAGTGCACAAGTACAATAACGTTGAAAAAAAATATTTTTTAAAGTTTCGAATACATATGCTTCCATATTACGTGCAAGTTAATGCATGGCTGTTACCGAACAGCCAAAATTTCTAGTATGTATTCCGACACGTTTTCACGAGAATAACTAGGTGTTGCTTCCATTTTTGCATTGCCTCAGTTACGTTGGACTAAGACAACCACATTTTCGTTTGATTGTGCCCATAGGGAGTTCATAGAGGTAATGTATTTTGTAAGCTCACGTGCAGACATGCCACTCAGTGACTAATAAACACAAATGCAATTGGCAGGTGCAATTGTAAAAGTACCAGTTTTTTACAGTAAGAGAAATATACTTCCACTACATTCCTTTGAAATGATTTTGAGGTTTCGATTACGAAAAGATTCAGATCTTCCTTGAAATGGTAATTAATACTTTACGATTTTCACTGGCTTCAGTCGATTGACTCTTAATAACGAGTATATTTTAAATGCTTACCAAAGCTTTCAAAATAAGATATTTATCAAAAACATTAACCGAAATAACTAGCTTTTAAACGTTCTTTCTTATGCACCCGTCTGTTTGGGTCATGGTTTCAGAATCACTTAAACATGTCAATTCCTTGCCAAGAAAAATGAAAATCCACAACAAAAGTCGCGAACGAATATGCCTTAGTTTATAAAAAAAAACCTATAACAAGTTAACTCTTGAAAAAGCGCCTTAGTCATATATTTTGTCTTCGAATTTCTGTGTACATTTTTTTGAAGATAAAGTTAAGTTCAGAATGAGACATTTTGGTCAGTCTTTTAATTTCCTTTAAAAATTAGGGATACATCTTCTGTTGTACATGAATTCCGTTTTAACAGGAGAGCTATGCATATAACTTGAATAAGAACTGCCGAATACAAAGAAGATTTTCGAACTTGTTTTAAGGTCAACTTGGGGATATTTAAGAGTTGTTCAAACTAAAACTGAAACGGAACAGAACGTTTCGACACTCAAACAATACCTGCATTCCATCGAGCATGTTCAGGTCCAACGTTTGTCATGTAAACAGTAGTTTGTGTGAAGAGTTAGTGAATAACAGGCTCCGTATTTGTGGTATTCATAATTATCTTTGTTTATAAGGTTACTTAAATACGTATAAGTAGACATATTTGTTACTTATATATCTTAGGTGAGGCGGAAGCCGCCGAGTGTCTGAAAATGCTTCACGCCATAAACAACTATCGGACAGCACGGGCAGTAAAGGATGGAATTCAGTTTGTTGCCCTTGCCGCCGGTCGTCCTGATCCAAGGGCCCGCCTTCACCTAGCACTCGCAATGGTTTACTTCATCCTCGAGGAGAAAGCCAGAGTTCGTTTGCTTTTATTTTTTGCAAATGACTTTTGCTCTATGTTATTTCGAAACCTATGGGTTTTAGAGGTTCCTTGATATCCTATAAGTGGGCGGCAGTGAAGTTAAGAGTTGGCTAGGCGTTCGCACAAATAACTGTAATCTTTTGAAAAGGCCTTTTGGGATATGGCGCATAGCGTTTTAAGCATGAGTGGTTTTTTCGAACCAAAATAGTAGTTCGCTCTTGACCTCGATTTTCGCTTTCAGTTCAGATACTTTTAACCTCGTTTTGACACTCGGGCTTAAGTTGGATGCTTTTCGTGTAAGAAAAATCCCTACCCTGTTAAGAAGACGTCCCATAGAACGCACAGCAGTTTAAATGAATGTAAACCAAGCTGTAGACTTCATAATAAACACTAATAATCGAACAACTATGGTGTTCTAGGTCTCCAATAATCGCACAAGTAGAAACTCACGTGAAACCGAAACATACCATTTTCCCAAGTAGAAAATTTTAAGGAGACTTCGTTTAGAATCAAAATACTAAATAAAAGGATGGTCTGGCTACCTTTCTGTACATAATTTAAATTTCAAGATCATCAGAAATACTGGCGAATTTTTGGCCATTCGGTTTGTCTTTTTGTATACTGATCGTGGTTTTTGCAGGCAGTCGCGGACGAAACTCATTTAAATTTCAACATCTGAAATATTTCGGAACCATGCAGCATCATAATCAGCATTACAACCTCGCCACCAGAAACATTTTCAGATTTTTGGTTGTCGTTTCATGAGCCACTGTACCAGGTTGAATTCCATGGCTGCAATTCTAGAACAGATTTGTCCAAGCTACACGGCTTAAACTCGTCCATGGAACATTACCAAGAGTATTTTAATATGTGCAGGAGACGTGCCAAATGTTAAGTAAAAGCCAAAAATTAGTTTTCTATTAAGAGAAGTCTGTAAGTAGAGGTATTGCATAAATTACCATGCAGCGTAATCCCATGATATTTCATTCACGTCGGAGTTTAAGAAGTCTTTTTGCGATTGAGTGCCATAATTACGTTGTCAATAATGACTGCGTAATTAGTATACCTTGTTCCCATTGCTTTTCGATGTCCTTATTAATCTAAATATATTTTATGGAAGAACTGCACGCCGAAACATATGGTTTGTATTCTTTTGTTTGAAGAGTAGGACATAGCAAAATTTGTGTTACAAAAGGGTTTTGTTCAGGTTTAAAACACTTCCCATTGCGGACTACTCTTAAACGCGACCAGTCGTTACAAGTGCATTTTAGGGTTTCTAAACGTCATGCTGCCCTAATTTCGTCTAAGGAAATGCTCTGATTTCTCTAGGCTCTAAAGAAGACATCATAGGGTGCTCCTAAACTTGGTTCCTGGAGATAGAGCATGCTTTTTAGTCTATAGTAGACTTTGATCAGCGGACGGGTTCGGCGCATTATGAATGAACATCCCAAAGTTTGAAGAAGGCCATAGTTAGAGGCCTTTGTGAAATCGAAAGACAACCTTTCTTCAGGTAGAAAAGTAAAAAAATGTAATTGGCCACAAAAAGAGTACAAGGAAGATCATTTTTATGCATATTTTATAGCAAATATATTTAAATTTAAAAAGGCAATAAAAACAACGCAAATTGCGTGTTTATAAAAAATTTAGTTTTTACAGGCGGTCGAAAAGAAACTTGTTGAAACTTCGACATCCTAACGGAACTGACATATTTTGAGCTTATGCTGCCAACCCATTAGCCCTACCTATGTTATTATTTTCGAATGTTCGGCTTTGTTTGATAAAAACAGAACTACATTGTACCTAGTGTTATTAAATCTAACCAATAATACTAAGAAAAAATATCAAAAATGAGACAGGGACTGGGTAGCATAAAAACGCACATGTTAAACACGAATTTACTGTCTCCTTTTACAGGCCCATCAGTACCTGGAGGATGCGGAGATCTCCGTTAAGGCGGCGGAAAAAAGCCATACTCTGAATGAAGAACTCGCGCTGATAAAGAGTGCCCTATCCTGAGTGCCCCACAAGAGCACAACCCTTCTTCCGCCATGAGCGCCACTGTCACCCCTCTTCATCTGAGGCGGCGGTTGATTACCGAAGTCAGCGCGAACTGTCGTTTATTGCCTATATGCATATAGCCTTGTCTGGTAGATAAGTTCTAGCACAGAACTACGAGAGTGATGATGCATATGCCAGGTTACTGATTCTTGAAACAATGGATGTATCTTCTCTCTCTCTCTCTCCCTTCCTTCATCTCTCTCGCTCCGTTCAGTACAGGTCAGTTTTATTGAAGAAATAATGGACGAATGGCTTTAAGCTCTCTACTTGTAACCACAGCGCCTAGAAGAAATCACCATCCAGATGACAAATTCAAAGAAGACGTCTTTTGTATGAATACATGAGTATTCGCTCAGCACGAGTAGGATAAAAATTGTAATAATAATTCGGGTCACGTAGATTAGCGTGTAGGTGGTGCAAGAGGCGCTTGATGCATGTCCAGTTTGCTTACTCTGTAACGACGAGAAAAGGACAAAACTCGTAGGTGTTTAAAAACTTAAACGGAGTCAAGTAACAATAACGTTCCTCTCACCCTGGTTTGTTTCACGTATATACTCGTTGGCCTAGATTGTTCCGCGCCGTGACTGTCCCCGGTTAAGAGGGTTCTTAATCCAACATAAGACATAGGCAAATTACTGTGTTGGTATACCGAACGGTCGGTCGACATCCAGGCCTCTTTTATCTGCCTTGATGCACGATCGTCACCTTGGCCCACAAATTCAACGGCGTCATAGTTGAAAACTTGCCTCATATCTGCGGCACGGACTGCTCCCTCAGACTTTAGATTTCACCTTTCTACAGGAAGCTAGTGCTCACGCATTCGCGTTTTTAACTGTCGGCTGGTTTCTCCAACATAAGTGTTCATCCCGCAAGTGCACTGAATTCGGTAGACAACACCCGAATTCTCCTGCTTCGGGATAGAGTCTTTCGGCCGCATTACTTGTTGCCGGATTGTGGCGGCAAGCCTGCAGGAAACTCCTATTCTGAACATAGGCGCACGAAAAAAGAGCTTCATGTAGCGAGAACCATGAGCCAGAACATTCGTTTTCTAAAAATGGGCAGGCGAGACAACTACCGAAACGTCAAATACAAAATAAGCTTCTCCCGCTGAACGCTATTTTATCCTCTGAGTACAGATTATTTCCACGTGACTACAAATATCCCTTCTCTCAGAGAGCATAGCCTTGGTCCCGTGGTCGAATCGTACTGCCTTTGCCTCTAGAAAACAATGATACCCTGCTTTGGAACGTTAAATGTCCGTCTGTAGCCTTGGAGTTTGTGCTAACTGGCAATACATAATGGGCTATGAAGCTCAACTTTTGATCTGTGCTAACATTGTCAGTGAGATGCGAATGACCTTGAAGGGGAAGGAGTATTTTCATGGACATGGATGATAAACAACGTTCAGACAGCTGGAAGACCAAGGATTGTAAACGCTACTCTACCAGCAATTATATGAAAGGCTTCCAGAAATGGTAGAGGTATAATGATTTGGTAGGCTTACTGTTTATAAACAGAAGGTAAAACAAGGGATTAGGGTGCGACTTTAACTGACTAAGGGAAACCGACAGTTCGACCGTCGCGCTTCAGCTAGTTGAGACAGCACAGTGGCTGCGGCTAGATTACAGTGAAAGTATAACTGCCGGATCTACCCCACGTTCTTACCACTCCCACACCGGACTCGATGTTAAGGCAAAGCCAAGAACACGGAGATGGGAGGGGGGAGGGTGAAGGTAGCTAGCGCGATCAACACTCAACATGCGTACCAACAGCATACCTCACTAGGTGGCCTCTCGCCTGGGAGCGCCATAAAGGCCACATTAAGAAGTAGCCATTGAGCCTGACTCTCAGCCCACAGTAAGCCACTCCACACAACACTTATTGGGTTGACTGCGCTGTCCTAAATATCTCGTCAGTTGGCAACCCTCCAAGCCAGGGCGTTTAGCGCACCGCGACAGCTTCAAACGCATTAGCTTGTTTGTAATGAGGAAAGAAATGCACTGAGGGTCGACCTCAATCTGACCTCCACCGCCCAAGACTTTTAGGGATCACTGAAAGAAACCACGACAATCAGAAAACCATATATAAATATTGCTCAATAGATGGGTGTTTAGCTGAATGGTGGATATTGGTAGTAAATGCGCGTACTACCGTAGTCGTTAACGTAAAATCCGCAAGCGATGCCTAATCAAACATCAATATCAGAAGCAGGGTAGAAACATAATATAAGCCGGGCAATACTGTACATTTATTGAAACCAAAAAGAGAACGGTGTATACTGAGTCGCTGAAGGCAGCAGAAGTTCACATCACTGTGCGATATAAAGGCAGTCAATCAAGTGTTGTCTATCAATGTACACGGTGTATGATAGCCGATATGATAAGTACTACGACCCTAGGCCCTATATTGCACAACGAGTAAAAGATTTGTTAGAACTCCGCCCCCCCTGGGAAATCCTACCCCATCCGTCATTTTCACCAAACATTGTTCCATCAGATTACTATTTCCTTCGATAAGTACAACGTAGCCTTACCAAGTAGCGCTACAGTTCCCATAAAGAAGTAGAAAATCGTCTTGGTTGATAGATTGCGTCGAAAGATAAATAGTTGCCTCTTCTTTTTCCGCAGAATCCATGTGTTAGACAAAGGAAGGCAGCATATTGTAGCTGCCAACCGAAAATACATTAAACAAGTTATAATGTTAAATAATGATTATTTTCTGTTACAAAATCGGCACCAATTGATTGATGTTTTGCATAACGTTTTGTACAACTATCTGCAAGTACACGAGACCCCTTAAAAATTCCTGTATTGAATAGTTCTGTTATTGTTCATAAGTCTACTTCACGGAACAGCTGTAAGAAAAAAACAAACACCTCTAAATTAAAATTGGCTGTGATTTGATGAACCATAAAACGCCAGCTGTAAAAATAAATGTTCTCTAGACTCGAAAAATGAGTGGCGTTAGAAAAATGCTGAATATCTGATAAAAGCCCGATAACTAGGCCTGATAAAGCTTAAGTTATTTTTTCTCGGCACATATAGGGCTTAGGAAAAACCACATTTACATCACAGGTACTAGCTTACAACTCAGCTGCGTCTCCCGCCAATATTAATAATAATAATTTGTATATTTAAGGCCCAAGGGGCCCCGTCGTTAC